TATCTTAATTGCTTCTTTGATATACCTATATCGTGTAGAATTGTGTTTAAACCTATACATTCACGCTCAATTTAAACTTTAGTTAACTACGTATGAATGAAATCCAAAATTGAGGACTGGGGTCATACCACTTTGGGGCACTTTTCAGCTTGTGCCCAAGTGTACCCAATTTCATGCTGGTACCACAATTTGCACAATTCATGTCAAATACTGTGCTTAGAGCCTAGACTATGAAGGTAAGACCCAAATTTTAGAACTGGGTTCCAGTACCCCATTTTAAAAATAGCATCAAGGGGTAAGATTGTCAATTACATCTTTTCGTATTACTTTTCAGTTTGTTGAAAGAATGGAGAAAGTTACATTTCATATTCATATAAAAGAGAGTAATTATTTAGAGAAAAATGCCTAGATAGAGACATGGGTACCATTTTCATATTCTAAAAATAGCATAAAGAGGCAATTTTCATGTCCTTTTCTCTTAATATATTTTAATATATGATAATGCACCTAAATCTTTCCTTTCCCTATCTTTTTATAAATCAGTAATGACATATGGAGTTTGGCCCAATTCGAGGACTGGGGCCAAGTACTTCAGTCTAAAAATAGCACTTGGGGGCATTTTCCGGCTTGTGTCTGTTCGGCATTGTCATCAGCCTGTGAAATTGCCCTAGTGTACCCATTTTCATGCTGGTATCACAATTTGCACAATTCAAGTCAAATACTGTGCTAAGCCCATACTATTAGCAATGTTGATACTTTTGTGACTTTTTATTAAGAGACCATCTACAAAGGAACACTTACAAACACTCGATGCCAGCAAAATATTTGACAATGAAGAGGGCATATCTGACAATGAAAGGGCATTAGTAGTGGAATATTATGCCTTCTTGGAGGATGGCAAAAAAGAAGGTATTTCAAAATTCGCTCTGATATTCTTCTATGAAAATTATACCGACAAATGTTGGTATTGGGAGGTATTAGAAATGATGCATAAACTGATAATGGGCATCTCCATTGTCTTTTTCCTTCGCAATACAAAAGTAGGTATTGCAGCCCTTATTTGTTTTTTATCCGCTTTTGCCATTCTCCATTCAGCAAAAGCACCAATAAGGGACATTTTTGAGAGCAACATTCAGTTGCTATCACTATGGTTGATCCCCATTAACCTGATGATTGGTATATTGCTTGGCTCAACGAATGTCGGTGATGAAGCAGTGATACCAAAGGTAGCTGACAATTTATCGCTAGAAATTATGCTAGTCGTTTTGAATTTGCTGCTACTGATATTAATCATTGGGGCGTTTGTTCTGGGCAGTAGTTAGAAATCTGGCGTCTCCATATAGATTTGGTGGGCGGCATTGTTGTCTTGGATTGTTATGTGGATGTTTTCATACGAACATTAAGATTGGACCTTAATGAATGTAAATGGATAGATTCTAACGATGCTCTTTGCTTCTATTGCTTGAAATCGTGGTACGACCAATTCCAGCCTTAACCAAACTAAGAAATGTTGTTCATTCAAACGCTTTTTGTTGAGATGGTCGACATTTTCAAGTTTGACCATATTGTTACCCTGGGTGCCAGAGTCTCGTCTCTCTCCTTTCCTCTTCCATTCTCCTTAGCTATTCCTTCCCCCGTTCTTCATCCTTTGACTCTCTGAGGCTCTGGCACCCAGGGTACCTTATTGTAGACAATGATTCAACTCAATTCAGAATAACTATGCTCTCCTTTGATCTTCCTTGTCTCGTTGTGTCCTTGTCTTCCAGTCAAGTAGGTATTTCTATAAGTTGTTTGATTGGGTTTGATAATTGGAGTTACGTTTGTCTTGTAAATATTTAGATTGCATTTGTAGGCTAGAGAGACAGATCGAGGTAATGTTGCGTTCATTTTGCACCGATTTTGGTGTTCAACATATCAATCTTGTTTACAATGGTTATGCTTATTCTAAAAATATTGCAAAGGTATTTGATATTTTCTTGATTTGTTTATATCTAAATGATACAATGATTTATAAACTCAGCTCACCAGCCTATCATGAGCATGATTACCACAGCTTTACATTTAGATTAAATTGACGTCAGAACAGGGGAATTGGTACTTTTTTGCGATAACGGCCATAAGTTACTGGCCCAAAAGCTGTCCAATGAAATGGTACAGTATAAGCAAAATTGGTATGGCAATGCCAACCCTGGGAGTGGCAATGCCATCCTTGGAGCAAAAGATACCAGGTGTTTGGCACCTCAGACTTTTCGTCGTTTTTATTGCATTGTCATGACAATGTGAGTCAAGATAATAGTGGCAGAAGGAAATTTTTTTATTTGGGGTTCTTTTATCTATGTAGAACTTCAGTGGTGCCTGGCGTGGCGCTCAAAAAAACTTTCGCTGCTGAGCAAAAACTTGGCGCTCCTCGAAAAAGTGCTGAAACGTCTGCCTGCAACACGGTTGCCAGTACATTCCAAAGTCACAAATTACGAGAATAACATTTTTGGAAACAATATACTGAGTAGCATATAGACACGAACTGCTTTAACCAATTTGTATACCTATGTTCGGATATAGTATACAATTGTGTTCAAGAGTTGTCGAAAGAGGAGTGTTATGTTCTGTAATGTTAAGCCTTGGCCAAACTGGGCAACATTGTCGGGCAACATTCACAAATTCATAATGTTGCTCAAATTTTGTCCAGTTTGGCCACCATGTCGGCCGACAAATTCATCAAGAAATTTGTTGCACGAATGTTTGAACATGCTCAACATTTTTCGGCAACATTTGTTGCTCAGCCCTATGTTGTCCAGTTTGGCGACATTGTCGGGCAACAATTCACATTAATTTCCCATCTGAGAAAAAATCAACATGCGCAGTGTTGTATTGCAAAACAATATCCTCAACTCGATTCAATTAAAATGGCCTGTCAAAATTTAAGCTTCGAAGTTGATTTTGCAGAATGGGAAGTAAACCATGCAGAGGAAGAAGATAAAGGTCCCGTCTGAAACAAGTCCAAGTGCAAGTTCTTGAAAACAACAAATCAGCCAAATGCTACTGCTTCTACGAGTGCTCAACCAAAGGGTGCTAAAAGCAACACGATGGTGTTGTGATGTGACAAAATCAGCTTCCAGTGGCTGCAGCTTGCTTTCTTTCAGGCATACTTATCCAAACTTTGAAACCACTTATCAATTTCAATTTGGCGCGCTGTTTTGACAACATAAGCAAAAGATGCTGCACGACAATGTTGCCCAGTTTGGCCACCATGTTTCGACGACAAAAAAATCAATAAAATTTCAAGCAACATTGTCGGGCAACAATGTTGCCCAGTTTGGCCAAGGCTTTAGAAAACACGTATTTTTTTATTTAGCTTACGGAATTATAGAATATTACAAAAGACGCTGAAAATTTCTCAAAATCATTATTATGGAGTTAAAAAAGCAAAGACCGTGGCTTGCCTATAGGATTGCTACATCAGTTAGAAGAGGATAAGGACATCAGTGAGAAGAGGATAGTTTATATATATATATATACTATCAAAAGCTCTAACTCCAAGTGTAATAAAAATAATGGCTTTGAAAAAAGCAAACATTTAGTAAACTAAAGCTTTTCGTCTGACACTCTTCAGAGTTTAAAACGTCAGAACATAGATCGAAAACTCTACGCTAAGAAATATATATACCCAGTTGTGGATCGAAATAGGCCAATGGAGTCCTAAGGTGAAAACGAACTCCTTTTGTCTACACAGTAGCGGTTTTTTCGTGCTTATGTAGATAGATTCTAAAACTGCTAGGTGGAACGACGATCGGGCTTTACCAATAATCCGAAACATGTCGCCATTATAGTTTTTTGTACAATCTGGGTTTTCTAGCAAATGCTGCCCGATAGCAGAATCGCAGGTTTTATTGTTAATTTTGGATTTGCAAGACCGAGGTGGCTGTTCTCTTTGGGGATGTGTTTTGTTTCTAATATTAGATGGAACGTGTTGTTTTATCCTATCCTCCAATCTTTGGGTGGTGCGTCCTACGTAGCCAGAATCACACTGGCACGT